TTAGAGGGAAAATGGAATGAAGGGGAAAGCAGTTTGCAGAAGAAAAGAAATGGAAGTGCAGCATTCCACAAGCCAAGGAGAAGAGTCTCAAAAAGGAAGAAGAATCAACCATCAAATGCAAAAGAAGTAAAAAGGATGAAGCCTAAAAAGTATTTATTGATTATGCAATCATTTGTGAGCTCTAAGAGTAAGAATTTCAATAGCAGTTTGAAAGCAAAAGATTATAAAATGGAACTGTGAATATGAATTCTTTGGAAATTGTGTATGAGATAAAATTTGAGAAAGGAAAGACACAAGATTATAACTTGAACTGAAAACAAGGTGGAAAGAAGATTTTTGTTTGTATCTTTTGAAAAAAAGGAGAAACAACAGCAAAAGAATAAAGTGCTGGATTTAAGGATTCTGGTAGCCCAATAACCTGAGGAAGAAAAAGGACATTTTTCCTTCTGAGTTGGAAAACATGAACATATTTGAAGTGAACACAAAAGAAATTTAAACCTTGAAGATCAAAAGAATGGCTTTACTTGGCAAGGTGGACATTAATTTCATTAACTTTCTCCACATTTATTTGACCAAAAATTTTTAAGAATTAAGCATATATGAAATAACAACAAGTCTTCTTTGTCTTAGTAATTCATACTTAAATACTACAGAAGATGTTCTCAGATTCTTACATATAGTTATACAGAAGTTAACTAGTTTTATTGGTTCTGTTTTGGTTGTTTTAATCTATACCACACAATAAAAAAAGAACACAGGGCTGGGGATGTGGCTCAAGCGGTAGAGCGCTCACCTGGCATGCGTGCGGCCCGGGTTCGATCCTCAGCACCACATACCAACAAAGATGTTGTGTCCGCCGATAACTAAAAAATAAATATTAAAAATTCATTCTCTCTCCTCTCTCACTCTCTCTTTAAAAAAAAAGAACACAAATAGACTAAGTTTACCAAGTAAATGTTATTAAGTGATGTTACATGTTACAGCAAGTAGGATGACTTTCATTTTTTAAATTATTTGCTAACCAACAAAAATCTGTAGATCTGATTACCCCTCTTGATGTTTATGAAACCCTAACAAGGTAGGTCATTATCGTTCCTAGGTAAAGAAAGTTGGGTTTATGTAAGTAAAGATTCAAAGCAAATAAATTGTGTGTTGTTATTGTAATGATGATGGGTATAGATTAAATAATGTTTGTAAGTATTATGCTTGACTCTCAAGAGATTTATATTGTTGCACAGCTAATTAATAACTTGGCCTAAGACCAAAAAGATTAGAAAGTGCTCTCTTGTAGACTTTTTTTTTTTTTGGTATGGAGAATTTCTCACGTGGTCCTTTGTAATATTTCAATTTATGTAACAAGTATTAATTAAGTTCCTATAGTATTCCGGTTTCCATGATAGGCACTGAGGATATAATGATAAATAGCACAAAGTTTTTGATATTCAAGTGGAGAATATACATTATAGGAAAGGAAAAAATATTCTAAATATAGATTAAGAAATGTCTGAAGAAAATACTATTATGTGTTAGAGAATGACTGGGTGAAGGCCTAAATCAGGTTCAGTAGTTATGTTAGGGCCCAGACATTTTATGAAAGGCAAAAATTGCACACTAAGTATTTCAAAACAAAGCTTTAAATATAAGAATAAATTAAATAGATTTTGGAGGTCTAGAAAAGCATAAAGAGAATACAGAGATATCAGACAATAACAGGAAGTACCTACAATGAACTGGGCAATTAGAAGGGAGAGAGAGGTTAAAGTGATCAGATCTAAACCCTCAGAGGTCAGACACTTTGGAGCTAAGGTTAAGGGAAGGGCACTGCCAGATGCTGAGTTCAAAGAGAGGAAGCAAATGCAAGCTAGAACAAGTTGCTATTGCCAGGGTGACATTGACAGAATAGGAAGGAGCAGTCCCTTCTCCCCTCCCACTGCTTTCCAAGCTCTTTCTAACCTAGTACAACCCACTGTTTAACCTAACAAAGTCAGGTGGAGAGAGAAATGCAGTTTGCCAAGTTCCAGCCACAGTACACATGGCAATCTGCAATAGTGGATTTGGAGCTGAGAGATCATCACTTATCAAATGACTGAGGAATTCTCCAAATAGGTGACATTTGAGCTGGGTTCTAATATATGAAAATAAGCCCCATATGTGAAAAGTTAAGAAAAGAGCATTTCAGAGGAAAGGGCTTAAAGAATAACATCAGGATGGAGACAGAAGTATGATGAGGAAGGAGAATGTGGTCTGAAATACAACTGGAGAAAACTGAAGCCAGGACAGAGTCAGATCATGCTCGGCAGAGTATAGTATTGTGAGTGTAACATTAAATAGACACCCACAACTTATGATGTGTGTCACATAATCTAAGAGCACTGGGAAGCCACTAGAATTTAAGAAAGAAAGAAAGAAGGCAGTTATTTACTAAACACCAATTGGATGCAAGGTGCCATGTTAAACAAGGTTCCTGGACAAGTAACTCATTCCCTCTGCCTCCCACACCTGTTTCTCTGCCTAGATTTTGTTTCCTAGTTAATAGCACCATCATTCACTGAGTTTCTGAAATGAGAAATTTCTGAGTCATCTTACTTCTCACTCCCCACATCCAGTGAGTCACCAATTCTTACTCTACTAACAGTTCCTAGATTATCTCCCTCTTTTCCATTCCTTCTGCCACTACTTTGGACTCTGTGCCTTGCCAGAATTGCTTTCCCAAAATCTATCCCTTTCATTGCTATCAGAGTGATCAATTCAGAAAATAAATCTCCCCATGGAAACCTCTTTAGTAGAAAACCTCTGCAGAGATGAGGTTCCAGTGCCCAGTTATGACATTCAAAGCCTTTACAGTCTACTCCCTCCCTCTTCTAACCTCATTTTTCTCCACTCCAACTTTATGTAAGACCAGACCATTTCCAGTTACTCCCTCAAACCCTGTCATTTGATGCCTTATTGACTTTGCTCAGGCTAACTAATCTTTTAAGACTCTACTTGAGGGCTGGGATAAAGCTCAGTGACAGAGCACTTGCCTAGTACACCACACACAGATTTAGCTTAAGCAGTAGCTCCTCCAGGAAGCCTTCCCTAAATGCCCAGATTGAACAAAGTGCCTCTCATCTGTGCTCCAGAGTCCCCTCTGTCTCACTACACCTTGAAATAATTTGTTTACATCCCTTCTCCCCAACTCTATGGCAGGTTCCTTGAAGGCAGAGACTGTTCATCTTTGTAGACTATCAAGGCTTGGTTCCCAGTGTGTAATAGGTGCTCATTCCTGAACCGATCAACAGAACTGATCTTGCATAGCACTCACCAGAAAGTCAAAGACAGAACATGGAAGAACCTTCTTATTCAAAGCTTACAACACACAGCAGAGAGGACCCAATGTAGGCAAGAACAAGCAGGCTCAACTCATGGGAGCAAGGACAAGGGTCACGGATCTCATGTTGACAAAGTGCTTCAAATTTGATTTATGGCATCATCTCCAGACAGAGTCATAAATATATTTTAATATTTTGTGCATGTTAAAAAGCATTAATATTTGAAAAGTAAATAATTAAAACATACCATAATTTTTATTTCTCTCTTTTGGTATTTCTTCACTTTTTCATACTTCAGTAGCCTCAAAAAAGAAGAAACACCAAATGATTTTATCAAGCTACTTCAGAATTAATATCATCAAAACTGAATAAATGCAACTAGATTTATGCAAAATGTTTCCTAGTTGTGGAACAGGAAGGATAGGAACATGGCAAGTATTCCTGATTATGCTATATTAGGTAAGAAATATGCTGAATAGGTGACTAGAAACCTAGTCACTGGTCCTAGAGGTATGACTACAGGAAGAGTTCATCCATCTAAAAGTTGGTACTCAGCATAAAATATGGAGAACTGAGCTTCCAAGGCAAAAAAACAACACTTTCCCAGTGCCTTCACAGGGAGAGCCTGCCCTTTTCTGAAGAACTGAACATACGTGTTGAACTCTTTGCAGAGCCTGAGCCATCAACTCTTCAAGCTATACATCCAGCCCTCTACTCTGCTTCTGGGAAAGTTTCCTGATGCATATCCTGTGTGAATGAATGCCATCAACTACCTGACAGCCACACCTGGTCCCAAATGGCAGTTACTCTCTTGTTACAGGAATACCATCATTGTTCATGTTTATTCTGAGAAACTATAATATTATCTGGGCCTGGCCAAAAGCAAACAGAATATAAAGACTTAAATGAAGTGAATTCACTAGAGTTAACTCAGAAACTTAAACCTGAGTGACTGAATTCCCCTCCCAGGCCTGAGTAACTAGCTAGCAACCCCTGGTGTGTGTCCTCATAAGTAGGCAATAAGGGAGCTAGAGAGATGGGCATCTGTAGCACTTGACTTATAAAAGTGAAGATGATATGGTAGGGAGAACCCCAGACACACAGAAAGGCAGGAACAAACAACCTAATCACATATTAACAAGAGAAATGATTCCTTCAGAAAAAGGATACCATGAATTTATTTGTAGCCATTTATTCATCTGATGAACAGTTGTTGAGTTCCTTCTTAACAAGTGTCCAGAAAACACTAGATGCTGAAGATACCAAGATAAAAGAGCCAAGTTATACATCTGGCCCTCAACCCTGTTTCCAAGCAGAGCTGCCCTATAAGAATGCTGCATCATTTTGCAGCTTTTCTTCACAAAGTGGCTTAAATATGTTTAAATCTGAAAATCAGGATATAGGAAGACTGAATGACACATTATCAGTTGAATGATAAACGATGTAATGTATTTTCAAATTTCACTGTATAATATCTTTTCCACTGTAATACTATTTCTAGGTTGTCTTCTCCCCAAGGAAACCCTGAAATTGTCACAGGCCACAAGAACTTCTACCTGTTCCCCAGGAATGCTGAGGATAAGTCACCTCAGTGGCTGATCTCCAGGCCTGCTTCTCGCAGGTGCTCTTCTCTTACTTCAGGGCTATGTCAGCACATTATGATGCAGGAGCAATAGAACAATGCCCAGAGCAGACTGGCTTGCACTTCTTTTGCCAGTGGTTAGTTTCCTGCCTGGTAGACATAAACACCTCCTCCTAAAGCAATGTGAAAAGAGTGGTAACGTGTTTTGGGAGGTTATTCTCCTATTCAACATCCAGATTTCCAGAGACCTATTTCAGCCTCATCTCCATGTAAGTGTCTGTTTGGTTGCTGCAACTTTGGTGTGAACCTGAGGGACAAGGGAATGGATAATTTGAGTAATGCTGATCATTTGAGGGTAGAAATGTCTCCTTTCTTTCCATCTTCTTCTTTTCCTTCTATTTTCTTTTCTTTACTTCAACCAGAACAATCAGGAAACTCAGAAACTTAAACCTGAGTGATTGAATTCCTTTTTCTTAAAAATCTTATTGACAGTTTGAGTTTGAAATGAAACCTTGCTATCAGGATTACTATTAAATTTTGATTTTTCAAACTACTAATCTACTTTTCTTCCATTAGAAATTATGAGTTGAATAAATATATTGGAGTAACATTATTTTTAGTTACTAAAATGCAAAAGAAGATCCAAAATGCAGAGTCTGCTGTTCAAAGCTGAAAGATTGAGGTGGGAGCATGGTTGTGAAGAAAGAAGAGGCTACACAGTCAGATCTTTTTCCAAGAGGAAACCAGAATTGCAACCTAGAATCATGACAGACCTATCCTAAAAATGTTTTTTTAATGTATTATGAATCTTAGAAAAAAATCCTGTTGATAAAATAGTATGCTTCAAAGTACTGTGAAGAATTAACCTCAAGTGCAAAGTACCACAGAGAACATATTAATGAATGACTGGTAAACACCATCATTTAAGAGCTATCATACAACTACAAAGAAAAAGCATAATAGGGGCTGGCAATGCCACTCAGCGATGGAGAGCTTGCGAGCATATGTGAGGCCCTAGGTTCCATCCTGGCACCAGGGGAAAAAAGCACAATAAAGACCACACAAAAACATAGATGGTAGATATATGGATGTTCACTATAGAATTATTTTCAACTTTTCCATAGGATTCAAAATTATTTATAATAAAACAGTGACGGGAAAAGACCACATGGGAATGTAAACATTTACAGAGAACATTTTAGGGGTGTGTATAGACATTCCACTGAATTAAGCAACCAGAAAACCCAAGCGAAACACTTCCATGATGGATCCTTGGGCTCCCACTGCCTCCCCTTCCTGATTTCCATTAAGACTCAACCTCTCACATTTCAAAAAAATTTCTGATGATTGCATTTATTCTGGAAAAATAAAGATACCCAACCATCAATGCAGTATTCATATACCCCATACCAATACTGAACTCATCCTTAACAGGCCTTGGTCATTCTTGAAACAGTAAGCACAGTCGGGGAAGTCCTGGGGACAGCAGCATCACGTAGAGTCAAGGGCAAAGCTGAAGCAGCTCCCCTCCTGACAGCTTCGATAGGTTTCCAGTGCGTGACAGGCAATGATTTGTGGTCTATAATCAGATTTAATATGGAATCTCTCTGCCTTTTCTTTAACTAAAAAAGCCAACAATGCTTTTTCAGATGAAAATTACACTGCAATTCTGCAGAAAAATACAGCCCAATGGAACTGTCTACTAAATAAATGACTGAAGCACTAGTTAAACGAAATAACAGAGACTAAGGATCTTCTAGTGATAGGATAAGTCAGGGTCCCTCTAAAATAAAATTAGATTCCTTTGTGCAGTCCTTGCTCTATAGCATAATTAAAGCCCTTATCTATGATATTATTATGTATATTGCTTGCTTACTAATTAAATGTATAGAATGTTGGATGGACCTTGCAAAAGGCATAAATTGGGGGGGGAAACATTAACTATGATTGGGAAAATTAATACATAATCCTGGTAGAACCTTATAACAAAAGATTCTGGGGCTGGGGGTGTAGCTCAGTGGTAGTGTACTTGTGGGTGTTAGACCCTGGGTTTGCTCCAGGACCTCAAAAACAAAACATACTGTACATCCATGAATAAAGCTAACTTTGCTTCCCCACAACAGTCTGTAGAAATCCTGCTTTGTTTCTCTGCTTTAATTTACAAATTTGTTCAACAGGTAAGTATTATAATTCCATTTTATATACATTGGTCATGCCTTAATGTAATTAGTCTTTAAATATTAAAATTTAGTTTTTTTATTTTTGAGTTTTATGTTTAGACCATCTATATATTGTAGACCAAAATACATATATATTTTTATTGTAAACCAAATATATATATATGCGTGTATGTGTATACATATATGTATAATTGGAGAGGTCAGACAGTACAATTCACAGATAACATAAAATCATAGTTATAACAAAACTAATCAAAATTTAACCATTAGTCCAAAAGCCAAAATAATTCTAGAAAAAATATATAGAAACAAAAGTCATCACACCACATTATAAAAGAACCTGTAACATTTTCTGCCCCTTAGCTGACCTCACCTTTGTGCCAGAGTTCAAAAATAGGGACAACACCCCCTTATGGCTGCAGATTTCCTGCGTTACTTCCATCACTTCCCTTTCTCTCATCTTCTCCTTCCTTTCTGTGTCCACCAGCTCCCCTGGGAGATCATCTGCTGACTGTTCAACTGATCTCTGGAGGACTAGGTCTTAAATCCAAGGGATCTTGTGGCCACATAAATAACTGCACTGAGAAGGAACACTCCCTAGACCCAGTGACCATGTGGCACCTACTGATTAGCAAGTATCTGTAAAAAGTAGACATACCCTCCAACACATGGATGTTTTCACTTTTTTGGAATGTTGTGGGGTTTTTTTTCTTTTCTTTTTAAAAATGTGTACTTCATCACCTACCTCTGGGTTTTTATTGTTGTTTTTTTTGTGTTTGTGTGGCACATGGATCGAACCCAGGGTCTTACACATGCTGGGCAAGTGCTTTGACACTGCCCTATGTCCCCAGGTCCATCACCCACCTCTGGATGAACAAGCTGACTACTTCATTTCCTCAAGATCATGATGAGACATGACACTATTTTATGGATCACTAAGAAAAAAAATGCTGTTAATCATATAACTTGATGCTTCTTTTTACTTAGACTTTTCCCTTATAAAATCTACCTGTTGTTCCTCTCTGCCATCATCTTCTGCACATTTCTTAAAGGGCTATCCTAGGAACTTCTTCCAAGTCTCTGACATGTGTTCTGTTGGTTTTGTACTGAGACATTCTTAGTCTTAACAGAAGTTGTCAAAAAAAAAAAGCTTCAGGGAATCACAAGAACACATTTTAATGGCAATTGAACACACCCAGGTGGTACAATTGATATTACTTCCTTTGCCACAATTATCAAATATCTTCCTTGGCCACAAGAGCCCAGGATTTCCCTGTTTGGCAGTTTCAGGCCAACAATGAGCTAGGGACTCATGACTCCAGTTCTACTCACAGACCATAAATAGGATAATCAACAACAGCCCTCTCTGACCAGGTCTCACCCTAGTATAGTTAGAAGACTGACTTATGGACCTCGAATATGAAATAGAAGTGGGGAATGAAATTAGCTTCCTTGCTAAATACTTTACTTTTCTTTTTGATTCTTTCACAAAAGGTTTCATCATGAAAAGGAGGAAGCCCAAACTGAAGTGAGTAACAAACTTCTTTTCCAAAAGAAGATGTGGTTCAGTCCTGAGTGGAGGTAAGATTTGACAGTCCTGTGGGTGTGACATGCACAGGGTGTGCCACTCCTACTCTTGCCCTTTTCTCTCTTCCTCCCTTTCGCTCTCCCTTCCTTTTCCACTTCCCTTTCCAAGTTCTCTTTTTCCCTTCCTCACTCCTGAGGTCTGCCCACAGGAACAGCTTTTCTAGACTTTAGAGGAGATGTATGAACTGATAGGAGAGTCTGAGCTGAGCAGGGCGTGTGTGGAAGGGATGGAGATAGTTCTTCCTTCCTTACGTTCTGAACTGAGGCTTCCTGCTTCTTCCAGCACAGATTCCTACCTCTCTCTCTGTCCCACCAACACATTTAGGGCTCTATTGCTCAGGAAGAGGAGGGAACAGGAAGAGAAGGGAAGGGTGCTTTCTGTATTCTTTTGTCCTCTTTTCCTCCTTCCACCCCTCACCCTTTCCAGTTCTCACACCCTCCTCTTCAAGCACCTCAGGCAAGGTGGAACATTGGGCAACAACACTAGCTCTTCTAGTCAGGCTAGGAGGGTCTGAATCCTGGTTTGGGGACTTCCAGGCTTTGTTATGTTGGGAAGTTAATTTCTCTAAGTCTCAGTTGCCTTAAGTGAGTGTCTTAATGCTGTTATTTCATAGTGTTATCTGAATTATATGAGAGAGTGCATTAAAGCCTTTATTGCCTGCCACTTAACAAGCACTAAATACATTCTTTTAATTATTATTTCTCATCCTCTTGTTTTTAGGTGGTGGTGCTGGTGGTGGTGGTTGTTATCTCTTCTTTTTTTTCTGATTGTTCTTTTTGGTGTCTGATTTTCACATTTCTTTTTTTTTAAAGAGAGAGAGAGAGAGAGAATTTCAATATTTATTTTTTAGTTATTAGCGGACACAACATCTTTGTTTGTATGTGGTGCTGAGGATGGAACCTGGGCCACACGCATGCCAGGCGAGCGTGCTACCGCTTGAGCCACATCCCCAGCCCCATCACATTTCTGTTTGTGTGGATTATTTCAATTTATTTATTTTCTTGCTCCTCTTGAATCATTTGATTTTCCCTGTACATGCATAAGATGTGGTCAAGAGGTGCCATGGAGTTGCCACCAGTGGAAAGTCTGATGGGGATAATTGTGCCTTGGCCACAGCTTATTGTGCCCAAAGCCCTTGCTCAGAGCACATGTGGCAGCAGAGGTCTCTGTATCCTGCAGTCCTGGCTGGGACCACAACAAACATGCTCACTACTTATCCTTTTGCTTGGGTGAGGGGTCTCTGAGGAAGGAAACTGTCACCCTAACTATATTTAAGAATATATGTTAGTGGCATTAAATGATTTATAATGATGTTGCAACAATCACCATCATTCATCTTCAGAACTCTTTTCATGTTGTAAAATTGAAACATTTTTTATAAACACTGGTTCCCCATCTTCCAATCCTCTGTTCCCCTAGCAACCATCATTCTACTTTGCCTCTGTGATTTCACTATTCTAGGCACCTCCTCATAAGTGGGATCATCGAGCATTTGTCTTTTTGTGACTGGCTTATTTCACTTAGCATAACGTCCTCAAGTAGTTTCATTCATGTTGTAGTGTGTGTCAGAATTTCCTTCCTTTTTTTGCTGCATTTTATATTCCTGTGGAGGGGGTATGTGGGTGTGTGTGGATGTGAGTGTGTGTGTGTGTGAGAGAGAGAGAGAGAGAGAGAGAGAGAAAGATTTAGTTTACTCATTCATCTTCCAATGGACATTAAGTTGTTTCTACATCTTAACTGTTGTTAATAATACTGCTATGAATATGGGTGCACTAATATGTCTTCAGGGCTCTGACTTCAATTCTTCTGGGTATATTCCCAGAACTGGAATTGCTGGGTTATGTGGCATTTCTATGTTTAGTATTTTGAGATAACACCATACTGTTTTCCATTGCAGCCATACTGTTTCATATTCCAAACAACAGTGCACAAGGATTCAAATTTTTTCACATCCTTGCCAATAATTTTATTTCCTGTTTTTTTGTTTGTTTGGTTTTTGTTTGTTTCCCTCCAGTACTGGGGATTGAACCTAGGGCATTCTACATGTTACACAAGCACTCTACACCCCCAGTCCTGTTTCTTTTTCTTTTTCTTTTCTTTCTTTCTTTCTTTCTTTCTTTTCTTGTAATAGCAGTCATCCTGAAGGATATGATGTATTATTGGAGTTGTGATATTTAGCATGTATCCATGTGGTTATTGGCCATTTGTGTATCTTTGGAGGAACATCTGTTTAAGTGGGAAAGGTGATTTTTTAATGTCTGATCACACTACATTCTGGGTTCTTACTCTGTTAAGAATTGTTATTTCTGATAAGTGAAAGGTGAAATCCAAATATATAGAGTCACTGTTGTCTGTTGAAGTGGTTTTCAGGGGGAGGGAGGGAGGGAGAAAGAGAGAGCTCGCCTGCGAGGGAGCACGCAAGACAGCACAAGAGTTAGACAGCAGACAAATGTCCACCAGTTCCTTTCAACCAAAAACTAAGCCTCAGTCATAGGTGAATAGCATGAAAGAACTGTTCTCAGTTTAGAACAGGAAGCCAACCAGTTTAGTTTACTTTTGATATCCTACTCACACAAAAGGATTAGAGAACACTGGATGACATAAAGTACAGTGGGATCATTAGTTACAGAGGTAAGAAATGATATTTGGGGAAAGGGTATATATTGAGAAAACTAGAAAGGTCTTTCCTAATTACCCTATAGGTGTTGTTGCCAGCCACAGATCTCAGCCACCTTTATTACAGATATCTCTTTTATGGTCTTTATAGTTCCTATTATCCAATCCCTCCCCCACTTTTTAGGCTTGCTTACTATCTGTCACCCCATAACATATAAACTACATGAGGGATCTTATCAGTCCTATTTAGATGTATCTATAGTGCCTGGCAAAATGCCAAGCATATCATGATGTTGATAAAATTTGCTGAATTAATGAAAAAATGAGCCAATTCAATTATATTATATTCTCTCTGTATTCATTAATTGCACTTCCATTCCTTCAATTTTTTGATGTTTGCATATAAGCATAATGAAGAAAATCAATAGGAAGTCGACCAATGAGCAAGATGCACTCTGCACCCCACAACCTTGCAGCCCAGGAGGTCTTCAAAATATGTTGGATGGAGGAGAGTATGCCCCTTTTGTGTCTCCTCCCATGTTAGAGAGCAATTTTATACAGGTAAATAAAACTTGGGCCCTAATTTCAATTCCAGTAATCATAGCATTTAATTTTCTCAAAGACAATTGAAAAGGTTGGGAGGAAACTTGTCTTAAATGTAGTGAGGGAATATGTGATAACATTAAAGGGAACAGTTTTGGAACTTCAAAGAAACTGAAATAATAACAATGTTAAAGGATCATTAATTTCAAATGTTCCCAACAAACTCTTAGTAATTCTGTCCTGATGTTACCATAATTGTCATTCTAACATAATATTCACAAAGTCATAGCAAGTGACTTTTAAAGCATCTTGTCACAGGAAAATATTCAGATAACTTCTTTCTTAGACTTACAAGATGTTTGAAAGAAAAACATCTGTAACAAACTAAGGCTTATAATGAATGTTAGCTCAGATAGTGTCAGGGAGAAAACCTGACTTTTTCCTAAAAAAACATGCCTATGTTGGGAATGAAACTGTTTGTCAGCACAGCTGTACAAACTCTCCTCTACACATTTGACATTAGAATATTCAGAAAATAAATGGAGAAAGGAGCTCAGTGGATGGGCCATACTTCTAATTGAAAAGGTTGGGAAATGCCTCATCAATGCCTAACAGCCACACTGAATTCCAATTCCAACACATTCTAGCAGCTAGCTACTCAGCTGATTTCACAGAGGGGTGACAGGGAGGATAACAAACCCTTCTTCAAAGGTAAGGAGACTTCACCTTTCGTAAACATGTTTTGGGCACTGATTCCTGACTTAGCATGACCCTTCCAGCCCCATAGCATATACCATAGCAGGAAGTGAAGCCTCCAGAAACATTTGTTTTAGTAACAAGTCATGATTTGATGCTCTTTGCCTTCTACATATTTGTTTCCTACCAATAATATTTTATTTTATTTTTTCACTTTTCTTCCTATGCCCTCTTCAAATTGCCTTTGGAATATTTTCATTGATTGCATGACACTTGACCTACACTGGGGAGATAGTTAACAGTCTATAGATCAGACACAGCCCCACATGAAATTTGGGAAAAAGTCATACTCTTCGGGGCTAGAGTTGTATTGTAGCTCAGTTACAGAGCACTTGCCTTGCAAGTGTGAAGCACTGGGTTCAATCCAACACCACATAAAAACAAAGGCACTGAGTCCATACAGAACTAAAACAATTATTTTTAAAAAATGTCATACCCTTCAAGATACACCACAACCTCTCCTGGTCAGTATGTCCTTGGTAGCAAGCTACTCAGATTCCTGACTCAATGGATTCAAATGAAAAAAAATCCAAACAAAAACAATAATCTCAAATAGAGTGAAGAGCCCAGGGTTCTGGGTTCTCTTTTTGCTCTCTAACAAGACATTTGCAGTGACAGCTGCCAGGAACACAAGAGAAACATCTCATCCTGCTGTGTTCTTGTGAGGATTGGGAAATCTTCCCAGAGCCACCAGGAGGCCCCCACTTGATTCTCACTGGCCAGGCCTTCTCCACATGCCCCTGTTGAAATTAGTCACAGGCAAGCAGGAAGGGTCCCAAGTCAGTTTTAGGTTAATTGGGATTTAACCTCAGACCTGAGTCACCATCTCTGAAGAATGGATAATGAGCAAATCCAGGATTCTGTTCATCAGAGGCACAGCTTTGGGTAGGCTGTGAGGAGTTTGGATCACAACTTCTTTTGGAATATATTTGTTTATAAGTGGTTTATTTTTTAATTGAACCAGTTCTCATACAACTGAGAAACCAGTGTAGCTCCTCTATGGTTTCCTTCACATTTCTGTCAACCCCTTTACCAGTCTGTTCTTTTGCCAACTAACAGAGATGTTATTGCCCAAGATTATTGGACTTTGGGATTTCTACAAATACTGTTCCTATGCCCAGAAACTTCTTCCCTCCACCAGTCAGTTTACCTCTCACAATCTTCAGGTCTCAGCTAGGAGTCCCCTCCTCAGAGTATATTTCCATGACCCCATATCCAATGGAGGGCTGGAGTGGGCCTATTGGCAAGTGTTCAGGAAGTTTACAAGTTGGTCTTTAAATCCTGCCATTATTATCATTATTTTATTATTTGTTTATTAATAGAAACAAGGTATTGCTGTGTTGTCCAAGCTGGCAATAAACTTCTAGGCTCAAGAGATCCTTATGCCTCAATTTCCTGAGTAGTTGAAATTAAATATGCACCATGCCTGGCTTAATCCAGCCATTATTAAAAATTAAGTTATATTACTAGGGATATAGCTCAGTGGGATATAGCATGTGTGAGCCTGGAATTTAATCCCTGGTACTTCAAAATAATAATAATAATAGTAATAATTATAATAACATATATAAATTTACATCCAAACCAATGATAATAAATAGCCAAAACTCACAATTCCTATTTTTTACTACATTTTACTATTATCTATGTTCTTGAGGTTACGGATGCAAGAGTTTGACAAAGGTTTATAGAATACGTACTTGACTCTATGGTATGAAAAGTAAAGAATATTGTGTGTTTTATGTAAATTGTATGGTGCTCATCTTTTATATCAGTAACATTTTATTTTAGTTTTCATTTATTTATGTATTTATTTTTTGTGTTGCCAGGGATCAAAGTCAGGGCTTCATACATGCTATGTAAGCACTCTTACCACTGCCCAATGTATCTGTAACATTTTGTTGTTATTGTTTTTGGTACTAGGTATTGAACCCAGAAGTACTTTACCACTGAACCATAGTTCTAGTCCTTTTTTATTTCGAAATAGGGTCTCACAAAGTTGCTGCAGGTTTTGCTAAGTTGCTGAGATTAGCTTTGATCTTCCTGCCACCCAACTATCAGTAACATTTTCAAAAAGTTTATGTGTAAGTGAATCTTCTGAGAACTGTTAAACATTTACTGTCACATCATTGGCTATATCCCCACCCTAAGCTAAGTGCTCTGTTAAATGTTCCCAGAATTTGTTCTTGGTAATACTTGCTACAGTAATTAGTTTCTTAAGTTGTTTAATGTTTGTCTTCCCTGGGAGACTCCCACACATGAAGGGATTATGTCTATTCACTTGTGGTATCTCCAAAAATTAACCCAAACAAGCAAAGGAATAAATACACCATGATTAATTTCCCCTCTGTATCCTGACTTCTCTTGCATTGATCCAGTAAGGGAGGCTGCCTGTTCTGTGACTTTCATCAAAAATCATCTTCAGGCTGGGGCTGTGGTTTGATGGGAGAACGCTTGTCTCTCATGAGGCCTGGTTTCAATTCTCAGCACCACATATAAATAAAGGAATAAAATAAAGGTCCAACAACAACTAAATATATATATACATATATACACACACACATATATATATATATATATTCTTTTTTTTAAATCATTGTCTTGTTCTCTGCACTCAGGTCAACAGAAGAGGTGAATCCATTTACCTTCATAATCGAGCCAACTGGGTGACTGTAGGCATCTGTTCTTCCAGTTCTACCCAGAAGACTCCCAATGTGATGCTGCTGGCACATCTGACACCTGCTGCTAAAAAACGTTCAGAACCCCTGTTTGAAAGTCTCCTGACATCCCCTTCTACAGGGAAGCTGGTGCTTACAAGGTGAGTTACAAAGAGAAGAGGTTAAGAATCTCTTAGAAAATATGCATGAGCCCTGTAGAAATGGAACCGCTGATGACAATTGCTCCAAAGAAGCATCTCACTTGCATTCCCTAATGCAAATGACTGAAAAGTGTTCTCAAAGTCAAGGAACATGGTTTATGACAAAGTCAAACAGGCAGTTAATTTAAAAATAAATAAACCTGGGGCTGAGGTTGTGGCTCAGCGGTAGAGCGCTTGCCTTGCATGTGCAAGGCCCTGGGTTCAATCCTCAGCACAACATACAAATAAATAAAATAAGTGTATTGTATCCAACTACAACTAAAAATAAATATTTTTTAAAAATAAAATAAATAAAATTAAACAAATAAACCTAAGTAACAAAAACTGATGACTCATAATAAATAATCTCCCAAGAACACACCTCCTCTCCACACAACGTCCTGGCTGCCATCAGAATTAGCTCTGGTCTTCTCTCAGTCAGTCACTTGCTCTACAATGTTGAGCAAATCACTTAATTTCTCTGAGAAACAGCCCTTTTAGTTAATTAAAATGAATATTTTCTCATGATAAATAGGTGGCATTCTGATTTTTAGTACATCAGAGGTCTAGACACATGATTAGAATGAGATGACTCTGAGGAGTCCTGCTTCAGAACTATCTGGGACAAAAGTCCTTTTCCTGAGTCTCACTCTTCAAGCTGATACAAAATATAAAAGGAAAGGCTGTTTCATAGGTCTACAACCAGGTCTCCAGATAATGTTACATTTGCATTCATTTTCAGGTTTCTCCCTCTGCAGTTTGTTACTCTTTCTGTGCATGATGCTAAGAACTTGCGCCTCAAGTTAAAGCTGGTGAGTGGCCGAGCCTACTACTTACAGCTCTGTGCTCCTCCATATAAACAGGAGGCCTTATTTTCTCAGTGGGTGGACCTCATCTCCCTCTTGAATCATGAGAAAATCAAAGTTCTCAAAGCATCAGAGGTCTCAAGCTTTTCAGAAATCACAAATAGCACAGATATCACAGGCTCCGTGGACATCATGGACTTTACAGAGTTCTCAACTATACAGAACCCACATCCGTACACATGGACCGAAGGCATTCATGTCATGGACAGCTTAGATTTCTTGGAACTTGAAGATGTCACCGACGTCACAGATGTGACAGATGTTCCAGAAAATGAAGTCCCAGAGGTTCCAGATGTAAATATCGTCACAGAAATCACAGAAGTCGTAGAGGCCACAGAAGACACACATAGCTCTGATGCCTCAAACTTCTCAGGAGTCACTGTGGTGTTTGAAAATGATGACATAATAAGAGCCAAACAAGAGGAAAAGGTATGTGACATGGAAGACTTTGATTCTTTAATAATCAAGCACTAGAGCAATAAACAAGGTCACAGTTCTCAGTCAGGTGACATTAGTTATCACCTGTGGAACTGTCTGTGAGTGACCTAAGTTTAAAAATGAGATCTGATCCCTGAGACCTGGTGTAAAGGTGTTGTATGATATCTTTTGAAATAGGCAGCAACCATCCTTACTGTCAAACTTAACCTAGTGCCTGAAAGCTATAGTGTAATGGAAAGAAATGAGGATGTAGTCAGAAAACCTGGGTTAGATTCTTAACCTGCTGCATGTTAGTTGTGTGGCTTTGAATAGCTCACTGAACCTACATGATCCTCTGTTTCTTCACCTCCAAAATGAGGACATTAATAAAAGTAAGACTGTTTTAAATTTTAAATATATAGAGAAGTGCCCAGTAACTTGAAGAAAGGGATGAAATTTCACTAGGCAAAATCCAGGAAGTAGAAAAACAAAGCCATGTTCGGGTTAATTCAAGTAGGATGGAGCATAATATATGTGGAGAATATTAGCATATAGGATTGGAAAGTTGCTTGTAAACCTTGAATGCCAAATCAAGAAGTGGAGACTTCACTCTGAGAAAACCTTAGCAACTAAGGGCTGTGTAAGGAAATGAAGGAGTTGTTTTGTTTTTTGTTTGTTTTAAAGATTAATCTGATGGCAGGATGCATAATAGGTGAAGAGATCAGTCTGAAGAAAACTGCTAAAATTTCTCCACTAGGCTCACAATAGAAATACATCAAAGGGTGAGGACAGAAGTTTCACAGAAGTTGAACATAAATAATACTAGAAAAAAATTAAATTTCTCTTTTTTGGTATTTTACAATCTATAGCCGTTATGCTGTGCAATAGAATATCAGAACTTGTTCTTCCTATTGACCAGTGACTCCTATTTTTCCATGCACGGAGCTCCTACAAAAAATATTTAACCCATGTAATTGTTAATTAAAAGAACAGACACAGGGGCTGAGACCTGTGGCTCAGCGGTAGCACACTTGCCTGGCATGTGTGAGGCACTGGGTTAGATTCTCAGCACCACATATAAATAAATAAAGGTCTATCAACAACTAAAAAAATAAAAAATAAAAGAACAGACACAGAACTGGACTCAGGGACACATGCTTGTAATTCCAGCTGTTTTGGAGGCTAAGGCAGGCAGAGGATCTCAAGTTTGAGACCAGTCTGGGCAACTTAGTGAGATCCCATCTCAAAAAAAAAGCTGTAAGTGTACTTAAGGTAGAGTGTTTGCCTGACATGTTCAAGGCCCTGGGTTCAATCTGCACTGCAAAAAAGTTAAAAATTAAAAGAATAAACAATATCAATATTAGCAAAAGTGTAGTCAACTGGGAATTTGTAGAGATTTATAGTATAAATGAGAATTGGGTCAGTTTTCTTGAAATAATTCTGAGTCAAGAACCTTAAAAATATTTGGACCCTTTGACAGAAATGAAGATTTAATTACAAAGATGTTAGTTATAGGCTGTGAGTGCATCTCAGTGGTAGAACATACTTAGCACTCAAAAGGTTCTGGTTGCGCACGCACACGCACACGCACACATTAATCATATCTTATGCTTCCCATGCTTATAAATATCTACTAGGAATAGCTAAACAAATTTGAGCTTATGAAGGGCAGATGTCATATTTATCTTGTTTAGGAGCTACCATAGTGCCTGATAATATCATAGGCACTGAGTAAAACTTTGTTAAATGAATTACTATTTCGTAGTTATTAAAATTATTTAAGAATGTTTCTTAACCTGGAAAAGTGTATATGATATAAATTTGAGTGAAAATGAATAATATGTTCTCTGGGATGTAAAAATACATTTACACACACACACATACAAATATATATATATATATATATATATATATATATATATATATAGTGAATAGCAGTTAATCTTTAGATTGTAAGACTATGGGCCACTTATGTCTTGTTTATACTGTTTTGGATTCTCTGTTTCCTATAATAAAGATAAATTATTTTTAATTATGAAAAAATCAAGTGTTTTTACACAATTATTAATGACAGGAGGAAAATGCTTATAGTAATGAAATGTTAGGTGAAAAAATGTAGGCAGCAACTTCAAAACAATGTCAAAGCAGATATAATAAAAAATAAATAAATGAACAAAGAGATGGGAATTAATTGTGCCAGAGGAATGGCTTTTTTTGGACAGTGGCTTCATGCAAGGAATAATTTCTACCTTTCACTTTATTCCTTAGAGGATTTTCCAAGTATTCTATAATATAAATAGCTTTAATTTTCAGGGGAAAAAAAGGAAAGTGTTATCTTTTAAAATAAGATTATCACACTATTTTTAATACCTTTATTTTTATTTATTAATTTTTTTAGGTAGTGCTGAGCACTCTACCACTGAGCCACAACCCCAGATCCAGATTACTACATTATTTTTAAGGAAATATAATAGAGGTAATGGACCAGGTAGGGGCAATGGGAGGAATAAGGTACAGATGTGAGGAATGTTAACACAAGCTTTGGGGTTCACCAGCCTGATGAGAGATTCTGCTGTGATCAGTAAGTGACTAAGAAGTGGCACAGTAATAGATTCCAGGAAATTAGAAGAATGGGGAGAGATTTTAGGGTATTACATTTTAGGTACAGGCTTTAAATCTTTTGAAAAACAAAGACTAGTATTATTATGAACTCCAAGCCTCTATCATATCTTTGTTGCTCGTAGATTAGGAGACTAACATTTTCAGAAAACATTCCTTGCCCCTACAATTCGCAGACAAGAAATACTGTAATTATAAGTGCTACTTGTTTTATGTGAGGTGACATTGGTGCACATCACAAAATGAGCTTTTGAATGTGGGATCAGGCTGCAGTGGGGCAGGCCATGGTTCCCACACTGCCTGCCTCCAACACCTGTGCACACTCAGTAAATGTGAATGAAATGATTACTGTACTAGATACTGCTCCATAAATAATCTATTTCTATATCACACTCTTCTGTTACCTGACTTGCTATTGCTTTGTCATTTTCAAAGGAAATAGTGGAAATCACTATGAAGCCTGGATGTCTACGAGATACAAAAAGTAAGAGTGAATTCAAAGAATCCTCAAAACATGTCACCATCTCAGACATAACACTTACTTTCCAAGGTGAAAGGTGTTTTCATACTACTTTGAGTGCAGCAAGAAGTGAGGCAAAAATATCAAAAGAAATGAGTGACAAAATCTCTGAAGAAAAGACAACTGATTTAAAAAACACAGTTCTCAAGGCAGTAGACTCCAGGTACGTGGAAAGAAAATGTTGTGGGGGTTTCTAAGATGTAAAGCAATGTAAATAGGTGCGTGCTTTAAAATCCTTATAATTGAGCCATTTGTCTCTGAAGATTCTCAGAGACAGATACAGTGTAATTGCCCAATGATATACTCAATCTTAACTACCCACAACCTTGATTCAACCTTGGATAATTTTTATTTTTAAGCTTCTTACACCAATCAGTTGGTATTATGGCTATTGGCCTATTGTCCATTTTGTGTTTACAAAATATAAGAGAATCACAGTGTTCACATTTTGAAGCCAGGATGTTGAGTTCTGGAGCGCTTGTGTGGGTATGTTTTCTTTTATCTTTATACTTCTCTATATCTTCTTCTCTAAATAGCCTCTATATATTTCTTATATTTATCTAATGAGTGACATTTGCACTAATGAAAATTCAAAAAACTATTTTCATAATTTCAATAGCAAACTTGAATGCAAAAAACAAACAAACAAAACAAAACTAGCTTGGGCCACAAAGCAAGACCCCTATTAGTAAGAATGAAATGAGGAATGTAAATATATATGTATATATATATCTATAAACAGGAAAACAGAAAAAATTGACATTAAAAATTAATTAACTAGAAAATTTTAAAATAATTTGAAGTGCTAAAAAGATTGGTTGATTCTTCAAAAAGAGCAACAAAAGAAAACTGGACAAAACTGGCAAACCATTGGGTTGGCTATTTTGTTTTTAAAGTAAAACTGAAAAATATAAAAGATGTTATATCAAGAAGAATGGTAAAACATTATTGAGAAAGGTCAAATACAGTTTTGTTTCAATAACTTGAAAATGCTAAATAAGATTAAAAATGTAAAAGAAAAAAAGCAAAATTAATGCAACCAGAAATTGAAAACTGAAGAAATAGAAAAAAATTATCAAAAAGCTCTCATTTAAGTAAAAGACAGTTTTGACTTTTCCAGAACAGTTTTTTAGATACTCTAAGACTTGTCTCTATTTTATGTACTGTTTTGTTTTAATATAGAAATATACAAAAAATATTCTGTCTTGTTTTCACAATTTCATGAAGCAAATAATCTATTTGGATTATAAAGCCAGGCAAAGACAACACAAAAAAGAAAATTCTAGTTTAGTCTACGATAAATACTAAATTCTTAGAATCTCAACAGGCAAAACACAACAAGCTTCTTGTAAAATTAAGGAAATTATTAATATTAATCATATAAATACAAAAGAATAGAAAAGTTATGATAATTTAAACACATGTAACAAATTTATGTATATTTTGTTTATTTGTGTTTTGCTGGATTAAAAACCAAACCTAGGGGCACTCTACCACTGAGCTACAATCTCTAGTTCTTTTTGTTTTTTATTTTAAAACAGGGTCTCACTGAGTTGCCCAGGCTGACGTTGAATTTGCAATCCTCCTGCCTCCGCTTCCTGAGTAGTTGATAGTAGGGTGTACATCATTACACCTGCCTCTCAATTTTTTTAAATTAATAAACATAAAGAATACTGAAAAAAGAATGCATTTTTTTAATAGCAACAGCAACAAAAATCAAGTGTGGTAATAAGATAACTGATTTTAAAAACACAAAACTTACATGGTAGAAATAAAGTACAACTTGAAAAAAGAAAAGAGGCTTTCCTTATGGGTCAGTAAGTTTAATAAAACAGCAAAGTTGAGAAGACATCCTCAACTGATTTATGTATTTAATATAAAACCAATGAACATCTCAATAGGATATTTCAAGGAAATTATAAAATTATTAAAAAACTGGGCATGGTGGTACTTGCCTGTAATCCTAGCAACTCAGGAGGCAAAGAGAGGAAGATCTCAAGTTCAAGTCCAGACTGAGCCATTCAGTGAGACCTAGCAACTTAGTGAGACCTTGTCTCAAAAAAGAAAAAAAAAAAAGGCTAGGGATATAGCTCAGTGGTTAAGCACCCCTGGGATAAAACTCCAGTACCAAAACAAAATAATTAAAATATATGGAAAAGATAGGGGTATGAGTCTCAAAGAAACAGTTGGGATGGAAAGTGTCTTCAGGAGCCAAGTACAGGGGCACACACCTGTATGCTCAGTGACTCAGGAGCATCTCAAATTCAAAGCCAGCCAGAGCAATTTAGCCTGGACCTAAGCAACTTAGGAAGACAAGTTGACTCAAAATAAAAAATAAAAAGGGCTGGGGATATGACTCAGTGGTAAAAGCACTTCTGAGTTAAATCCCCAGAATCAAAAACTAAAAAGAAAAGAAAATGTCTTCAGGGCACTGGGTCCCATAACATCTTAAGGCATGTCATAATTAAGGCTATCAGAATTCTAAGACAGGGGCCAGAGGTGCATGCAGCTCAGTGGATAGAGCACATGGTTAGCATGCTCAAACCTCTGGGTTCAATCCCGGCACCCTATTAAAAATAATTACCAGTACAAAGTTTAGAATATAGAAATTAAGATACAAAAATAGATTTGACTCCATGAGATCAGATAATATACAAAAAGAAAAAACTGCAATATTATCATTGCCTTTATTACAGAGGAAAGTTCATTTCTTGTCCACAGAAGCATTAAAAATAATTTTCAATGGCCAAGTTGGAGTCATTCCCTCAATAATATTTATTAAATTCCTCCTATGTGCTAGGCACTGGAGATAGACTATAAAAATAATCATGCCCCTGTCTCCTGAAATGTTTTATTCTAGTAGGGAGATCATAAACAAATAAGATATATATGCCAACTGGAATGCACTGTGATTAAAAACTTAGAAAAAAGAGTAATTTGAGAAAAGCAGAGGGATATTTTACACAGATAGTCATGGGCATGCTCTCTGAGGAAGGGACTTTTGAGCAGAAAGCTGAGGAAATGGGAGCTCTGGGGGAATTGAGTTCCAAGCTGCATAACAAGTATAAGTATCAGCCAAATTAACAATTTTAAATAAATGCATAACAACAGAATGGAAAAAGAATAGAGTATCTTTATACTTAAATGGCTGATAGGAATTTGTAAACTATCCAATTAACAAATGGTTTAAGAACAGGAATAGAAAATATACCAGGCTGGGAACAATGGCGCACACCTGTAATCCCAGCAACTCAGGAGACTGAAGCAGGAGAATCTCGAGTTCAAAGCCAGCCTCAGCAAGCAAGTGAGACCCTGTCTCTAAATAAAATACAAAACAGGGCAAGGGATGTGGCTTACTGGACAAGGGTCCCTGATTCAATCCCTAGTACCAAAAAAAAAAAAAAGAGGGGCTGGGGTTGTGGCTTAGTAGTAAAGTGCTTGCCCGGCATGTGTGAGGCACTGGGTTCGATCCTCAGCATCATATAAAAATAAATAAATAATGGTATGTGTCCATCTATAACCAAAAAAAATTTTTTAAAAAAGAAAGAAAGAAAATACCAGAAGACAAATACTTGAAGAGTCATCAACTTCATTAACAGTAAAGAAATATAAGTAAAGCAGTTACCAGTTGGCATTTTACTAGCTGTCCATAACATTTATGATGTCACTGTAAATAGTGGAGGGCTTTCTACAGAGTGACTTGGAAACTCAATGCTACAAATGGTTATACCCCTTGACTTACAGAAATACATGTTAAAGAAATAAGTCAAAGGAGAAAGTAACTTATTTGAACATAATGGTTTTTTAAAAACTTTTTTTAGTTGTAGATGGGCACAATACCCTTATTTTATTTATTCATCTTTATGCAGTGCTAGGCAAGTGCTCTACCACTGAGCCACAACCCCAGTCCTGAACATAGTGTTTTATAGTTTAAGCCTGTACCTCATCCAAATGACCAGTAGTGGAAGAATGGCTAACCAGGAAATAGTATGTTTATTTAGTGAAACAGCAGATTCTCATTAGGAAAAGCAATAGAATTTCAATGAAAAAGGGCTACATAATTAATAGGACTTACAAGCTGGAAAAATAAAATTCCAAAAATGTATATACAATGATAGTTTATTTCTACTATGGGATGGGAAGAAACCACAGTTTGAGCATAGCTGATGATTGAAGGAATTGATATTTATTGTAGCTATTGATAGATGTTTCTATTAAAGTTTTATTATGTAATTGATTACATTTACAGTTTAAAAAGAAGATTGATGCCTTAATTAGGAGAAATTTAACACAGCAACTAAAGGATGAGCTTTGCAGTTAGATCTCTATTTTCAAATATTGACTCCTCTCTTACTAGCTCTGTGATCTTAGCAAGTTATTTAACTTCTTTAGGTTTTAGATTTCTCATTTGTAAAATGGGAATGTCAAACATATAGAACTATCTTAGGAATTAAAACACATGTCGGGCTCATGGTAATTGCTTTAAATTTATATATATATAAATTTATATATATTTGATTTAAATTTATATATATAAATTCTATATACATATAAGTTCTATATATATAAATTCTATATATATATATATAAATTCTATATATGCATATAAAAATTCTCTATAAATTCTCTCTATATATGTATATATAAATTCTATATATATGTATATGTATAAATTTTACATATGTATATATATAAATTCTATATGTGTGTGTATATATATTTTCTATATATGTATATATAAATGTATATATATTATATATACACATATGAATGTGTATATTATATATATATACAAAAAATATGGATAGAGGAAAGAGAGAGAGGAAGGGAAGAAGAAAGGAAAGAAGGTAGGTAGGTTAAGAAGGAATGCAGGAGGGAAGGAAGGTTGGTTGGTTCAAATTCTAGATTAGACTTAGCAAAAAAATCTAATGTAGATTTGACTCACATTGAATAGAGTACAAAAAAAATGGTTCTACATTATGCAGTACCTCTAAAATAAATTTTCTATTATACTACCCAATAAACTAAACCTAGGGAAGAAATTGAAGGGCACAAAACTCATTAAATATTTTTTTTTATTGGTTGTTCACAACATTACAAAGCTCTTGACATATTGAAGTGGGTTATGAACTCCCAATTTTCCCCCAAATGCAGATTGCAGAA